CACATGGCTAAAATGTAATTGGGCTTCTAATATTTTGGAATGTGGTATCCACTAAAGGTTTTAAATTGAATTTTAACTTGGACCCCAATTTCAAAAATAATAATTTATGGTTACGACCCGATTCAGCACCAAGATTCTTCAACTTAACGCTCACGCTAATCGAATGTGAAACTCCACAAATCACTTCCATCTATGTCCACAATGCCATTTAACAAGTAGATCTGAATACCCGAACATCTTAACGTTCTTCAATCTTCTTAAATCAATTTGAAATGTTCAAATAAAATTAGGTATTACTGCTGCCCCTCTTTGCTCGTTGTTGTGGAAACATGAACGTAACAAAGACAAAAAATGACCTTATTTTGTTTGATTTACTTGCGTCTCTGTCTTTCGGATGCAGCTCCATCTTTCTAGCATTGATGTCCTTCTTCGATCTTTTATTGCTTTTGCCTCCATCTTTCAATCAAATGATTGTCTTCTGTATCTGAAAATTCTCGCTCTTTTTGCCCTAATCTTGCATATGTCGGCCGCAAAAATAATTGCCATTCATTAGTTCAATTGAAAGATTTCCATTTATTTATTTTTTTTTACTCTATTTTTCAATTTTCTCTTTTTCACTCTTTTATTCAATTTCTTCTTTTTTCTTTCAATTTTCAATTTTCTCATTTTTTCTTTTTCATCATCATTTTCATCAATTAAAATTAATCTTTGACAATTGACTACTCTACTCAAGGGAATCAAATATTCTGATCCTTTCTTGAAAGATTGTGCGAGTTCTCCTATATGAATTGTAAACTCTTCCATAAAGGTCATGGTGAGGTCAAACAAGCTCTCCTATATGAACTTCCTTCGATTATGCTGATCCACCTCCTTCTATGATGAAATCTAGCAAGAATGACAATGTTGATTCACCTCCTTCTATGATGGAATCGAACAAAACGTTGATTTATTTTCTTCTGTTGTCAGAATCGAGAAAAAGGGTGAACAAGTTCTTCTCATTTTGAATTTCTTCCCTCTTGAATGAGTCTTTAAAATGATGATCGACATCCTTCTAAGATGGGTTTGAGCTGAAGGTTGAACAAGTTCTTGTCATTATGAACTTCTTCTCCCTCTTAGATGAGTCCTCTCATTATGAATTCTCCATTTAAAATGTTGATCCACCTCCTTCTGTGATGGATTTGAATCTGGAAAAAAGGTTATCATATGTCAGTGTTAGTTATGTTTGAAGTACCCGAAGGTATTGACCTGAAGGTTCTTGAATATTTGCTAGAATCCATTTCTTTCAAAAATGAATATGTGGATTAATTCTTTGCTGAAATATTCTTCTTCAACATGGAATTGTGAAATGAAATCTCTGCTAACTTTGGAATTCCTGTCATATATTCAACATTTGGATGAAAATGAATGGACGAAAAGAAATTTGTTTCAAGAAAAGCTATCTCATGTGAGATAAAATTTGGTTTCGAGTGAAACAATTTCAAAATTGGTGTTTCAAGGGAAACTGTCTCAAGCGAGACAAAAAATTTTAAGAAAAAATAATCTCAAATGAAATAAATTTTGTTTCGAGTGAAAAAAATTTAAAATTTGTGTTTCAGGGGAAAATATCTCTAGCGAGACATAATTGTTTTAAGAAAACAATCTCAAGTGAGATAAATGTTTGTTTCGAGTGAAACTATTTCAAAATTTATGTTTCAAGGAAATTGTCTTAAGCGAGACGAAATTGGTTTTAAGAAAAATAAACTCAAGTGAGATAAATTTTTGTTTCGAGTGAAACGATCTTAAAATTTGTGTTTCAAGAAAAACTATCTCAAGCGAGACGAAATTTGTTTTAAGAAAAACAATCTCAAGTGAGATAAGTTTTTGTTTTGAGTGAAACGATCTTAAAATTTGTGTTTCAAGGGAAATTGTCTCAAGCGAGACTAAATTTTTTTTTGAAGAAAAACAATCTCAAGTGAGATAAGATTTGATCTTTGCTTCAAGATATCAAATCTGAAGATGATTGCTCATTCTCGCTGAAGACGTCTAGTTGTCATTAATTTTATTCTTTCCTGAAAGATCTGCAAAAAATGTGTATTTGAATGTAACTATCTTAAATGTTTATATGAAGTACAAATGAATTTTAGAAATTTGTCCTCATGAGAGGAGAGAATGTCCCTAAGAAATACAAGATTTCAAGGGAAATTTTAAAGACATCCTCATGAGAGGGGAAAATCAAAGTTTTTATATTGCACATGATGATGGATGTTTTATGCAATGATGCAAAATCATATATGTGCATGTTGATGCATGTTTTTCTTGATTAATAGTAGTGAAGAAGTGCTCAAGCAATCTTGATTTTCTTTCTGATCTGTTCGTCTTCATTTTTTTCCCCACACCAGAGTGTATCATTTCATTACTCTTGCAAGGAAAAAATCTTCTCTTCTTGCTCCAATAGATATTACCCCCAACATTCAATCTTTTTGCCCCAGTTCTGATTTTGAGCTTCTAAGTCTAAGAGACCTTTGTCAATTTCCTAGATACACTCCCTAGAGAGATTGTCTTGTTTGAAAATATTTTCTTTCCTTTTTATTTTTTGAAATGTGAAAAGTTTGTTGAAGAGACAAAAATAGTGTCCCTCTTTTAGGCTCACAATTGAAGCAAATCACAAAACATGAGTTCACTTAAATATCAAAAACATCAACAATTGTTTTAATCTTTCAAAGTTATAACTCTTTGACAAGTGTTAAAATTGATAAGTTGGTTTTAGGTTAGCTTCTTAAAGCTTCTAAAGTTTCAGTCATCAATGATTTTCTTTCTTTCTCGGTCCTTGTGAACATTATGACATGCCCCTCCTTCTCAACTTGGCTTTTTAATTGGATGTGGACAAAATGATGCAACTAGCACAATCAATTGCTAGACTTTTTAGAACACTTCTATTTTGGTTCTCTGAAATCTTCCATTTGTTCTAGCTACATGGGCTCCCTTAGCAGAGGTAGTGCAGAGACATCAATCTAAAAAATAGATTTCCTTAATGCTTATATGAAGTTAACCACCATAATAGATGTTTCTCAACTCCCTTATTCTATTTTCCGCCGAAACTTATTATTAAATCAAACCGTAGGCATTATAGCCTTTATTCCTTGAAATTTATCTAGTTTAATTTTTCATTGTTAAGGTATAGCTGAAGGGTTCATCTCGTCACAAAGTCTTTAACGTGACAATCACAGTGGAGCAAACACTAAATTGTCAGGTATTTGGTCAATGCCATGGTTTGAATGCAATTTATTCATAAACCCAGATCTTTTGACTTGCCTCTATAACCAATTTCTTTAGTGGAATAGCTCAACTTTATAATATTTAATCTATAATAATAATTTATTAACCTCTTGAGTATTCATGTTTAGAATTTCTTAAGATCATCAAGAATAACATGTTATAGTCTAGGTGTCCTTGATGGTCAGTAAATCATATTTACTAAATTAATCCACTCCCATTCAATTTGTGAAGATTAGGATAATCACTGAACATCGTCAACAGAAGTGTAGTCTAATCAGTTTTGCAAAGTCATGCATATGTGATGTCTCATGTTATCCGCTCTTATACATACCTGAATGCCAAGCCCCTTGACCGTCTCTTCACGAGAGGAGAAAGCTATGTAGGTCCCTCCAAGAGAAGGGTACGGTGTTCGAGTGTATCTTCTGGAGCAGGATCAAGAGTTGTTTTTTTATAAGGATTTAATCTTGTCACTTTGTCAAAGATCTATAACTTTGATTCTTGAAAGAGCTTTTAATCTAGCTGATATTTAAAAAATTTCAAGATTTAAATTTACTCATTGCTCATAGCTTTAGAATGTAGCATTTTATTTAATATATTCAATTGTCAAGTGACTAACAAACCTTTAATCAAAAAAGGGAAAGAAAAACAAATTCAAACAAGACAAATATGCAAGTGCAACAAAGATTCCTAATTGATGTAGTGACTTCTTATCGATTCACATTAGAATTCCCCATCACTCAATGAAGGTCCATACCCCTGAATAAATCAAATTATGGACCTTACGCTTCAATTCCCCACAATTCTCAATAGTATACCTTGAGCTTCCCGTGTGGTAGCTACACACTGCGTTAACATCATACCCTTTGGGAAATGGGGGTTCTTTTGATTTGGACTGAACTGGAGTCACGAGGTTCTTCTCAACCAATATTTGGGGTAATTCTTCGTATTTCATTGGAATTGAACCAATATGAGTCTTCTCTCAGATTACTTTATGAGGTTTGATCCCATGATTAGCTGAATAAACTCTCATTGTATTTCCCTTAACTCTTTTCTCGACGTCAGTATTGTCTGTGCCCCTTATCCTACTGTATTTGATAGTTGTCTCAATCATTTCTCCACACACGACGATGTCAGAGAAATTTTTAGTGTCAACTCCTATCATGTGATTATTATAGGGAGATTTTAATGTATTGATGAAAAAAGTAGTGAACTCTCTTTCAGTCATTGGTGGATGCACTTGGGAAGTAACGTCCCTCCATCATTGTGAATATTGTTGAAAGCTCTCGTTATTTATCATCTCCATATTTTATAATGTTGTTCGATCGGGGGCCCTATTAGTTATGTGCTTGTATTAACCTAAAAAGGCTTGAGCTAAGTCATTTCAAGAATGGATTTGAGTACGACTTAGCTAATTATACCATTTGAAAGCGGGTCTAGATAAACTGTCTTGAAAATAATGGATCAAAAACTTCTCATTCTCTATATAACCAGCCATTCATCGACAGTACATGGTGATGTGAGACAAAGGGTAGGTGGTCCCATCACACTTTTCAGAATCTAGATATTTGAACTTTGGTGGGAGGACCAAGTCAGGGACCAAACTTAGCTCTTTGGCGTCAAACCTATAGAATGACTCAACCATCTCCCTAGATTTTATCATCCCCATATTTTTTTAGTTTTTGGGTGAATTTTTCCTTCTTTGTTAACTCATTCATATCAGGGACCTCGTTATCAACACAAAAGTCTCATGGTTTCAACATAGATGTTGCAGGATAGTCAGTGGGGAATGAAGCTCCAGCCTGATGTTGTAGGTTCTCAACAGTGAAGAAAGTTGATGGCCAGATTTCCTGATGCCCAACTATGTGCGTAAAAATGTAGACAAGTGTAAAGCTCGAATGATGTACAGGATCTTCAGCAAGACTTTTTCAAGCGGTTACATGTTTCCTAAATATATCTTCCATTTTGTTTAGTAGATAAAGTTGAGAGTTAGCGATATCAGCCTCAATTTTAGACAATTTGCTCCTTACTTCATCTTGCATCTCTTTCTACTCTTTCTCAATTTTGGCTACCCTATCCTCTATTTCCTTATACATTTTTCTTGTGTCTTACGAGTGTTGAGTTTTCTTGCTACTAGTATGGGTCAGGATCATTGTAATCGAAAATCTTATCTTATTATTTTATGTCTTTAAATGAATGAATGTTTTAATGTATGATTCAGAAATGTATTAATCAATACAAATGCAATGCAAAATGAATGTATTCAAAAGATTTTGATTAAAAAATAATTTTTCATAAAATAATTCTCAAAGAACTGACAACATCTCTATATAGTGGGAAAAGCGAAAATCAAAGTTACGGATAAGATCTAGCTATATCTTCTAGCTTTTCAACTCCTAGGAGTAGTTGGATAGTGCATCGTTCTTCGTCAATATCTACATCACTAAAATCCACAACAAAGATTAGTTGAGCAAGTTCACAGTCCTTAGCTTTTATCCTCAGCATTGGGACTAGGATTATTGGGAATGGTGTATTTTGTGTTTGGTTGGTTTAGCAGGAATATAAGGTTATCGTGTTTAGTTAAAGGAATAAAAGATTATTAGAATGTATATTTGATCAAATTGTCCTTATTATATATTTGTTTTTTTAACAAGTTCAATTCTACTATAATTAATTTATATATTTTCTTTAAAAAATTTAAATTCATAAAATTTATATAATTTTTTTTACAAAATTGAAAAGATAAATAGGTTTAATGAAAGGGTAAAATTTTATTTTAACCCCTGAACTTCATATAAAATTTTAATTATAGATTTTTTTTGTAAATCTAAAATAGTTTAAGGATAAATTTGTAATTTAACCTTCGTAGAATTTTTATTATTCAACGGCAAAAAGAATGATATTTTTGGGAAAAAAATTAAGGACATTTTAGTCCAAAACGCCGGTCCTATAATACCTAATGAAAGAGGGTAAAATATATTTCCGATAATATATCCAAAAAAATCTACTGTTGGTAATAAAAGATTACCGGGAATAGAATTACCGGCCAACCAAATGGGAGAATGAAGATTTCATTCCCCTGGTAATATAACATTCCTTGAACCAAATGAGCCTTCAAATCTTAAATTTAAACAACTACATTTGCATGGTATATGTCGATAATTATCTGATGGAATGTATTAGAACAAGTGAATAGAAACTTGAGGAATAAAGAACTAATTTTATTCAGTGATGCATACAGAGATTTATATACAACAAATCACATGAATACAAAGGCTGTTAACTGCCCAACAACAAGATAACCACTTTAGCTATCTAATTCTTAACAATCTAACAACTATTTGTTTCATCTAGCACTAACAAAGATTATAAGCTTGTATAACTTTATGAATATAGTTATACACACCACTTGAATTAATTTAACATTATTAATATAACTTTTCGTGTTTCTCGTAGGAATATAAATATTGATGTGGGTATGTTCATTAATTCATTTTGTTTTGTAAACCTACGTAGGGAAATTTATTCGAAATTAGATAATAAAATATAGGAAAATGCAACAATGGTACGGTAATATAAGCATTTTTAGGTAACAATGGTACGGTAATATCTAACTTTAATATATATAAGTAATAATTAGAAAATTAATAATAATAATAATAAAAATAAAAAAAAGGCACGGAAAGGGAAATTTAGGGGATCCAATAATAGTAATTCTCTAGTAGGATTGAGAGAAATCTTCCAACTTATAGCTTTTAAGTAATCACCCCTCCAACAATGGCTGTCAATTAAACAACCCTTTGTGCCTACGCCCGCTTGCTTCACCTCAGTTTCGGATTTCGAGCCCAACACACCCACTATTTCCTTCCATATATCTTTAACTTTCCCTTTTACTACTATATTATTTTCGCCATCTTCATCGTGCTTCTGTACGACCTCCTCCCGGTCTTCCTCTTTGTCGTCGTCGACTTTGGAGGCATCGGCGTCCTTGAATAGGGAAAACCTAAGCCTGCCTTCGCTTCGTTCCGTGTGGAAGTAGCTATTGCAAGGAGGGGTAATCACGGCTTGAAGAACTAAACGGCCGCCTTCTCTGAGAGACTTGAGTTCGACACAGTTGGAGCCACTAATGGATGTCAACGGAGGTGGAAAGCAATTGACACGGCTCGTTTTCTTCCTCGCTGAACTTTCCCTCGGTTTCGAAAGCAGAACGTTGTCGATGCTCTCACTAACTTCACTTCCGGTTTCACTGCCTAAGTTTTCGGTGCACATTTCGAGACTTCTTTCACTCAGCATAGAAGCCGAACGCTTTACGAGAGGGTGCATGTAAACTTTGTCGTTACGGGTAGAATTAGAGCCATTGGCATTGGCGAGAGACTGGAGGAAACTCCGGCCAACTGTGTCAACATTGCGATTGCCTATCGACTTGCAGTCATCGACGGTGATGGCGTCTTTAACTTCGGTAAACGGCATCGGTTTCGGCTTGGTATGAGGCGCAACGGAAGAGGGTAGGAAATTCGTTACCGGTGGAGCCAGTTTCAGCATCAGTAAACGTGATTCAATGTGCCGCAGCTCCAGGCATGATTCCAACCCTTGACAGACACTTGAAGACATCTTTTATCCACAACAAGAATGTTGGGAAAAACAAGGGAACTTCAAACAAAGAACCAAGACAAAACACCCTGTTTTCTCACTTTTTTTTTTTGGAGTTTTGTGAAAGAAAAAAAAACAAAGTATATTTGGTGTTCGATGAGGAAGACAAAGAAAGGCAGTGGAACATGAATGAGAAGTGAATGCATCGGGGGATGATTTATAGAGCAGGAAAGGGTGACCTTTTAAGCCACTAAATCTTTTACAAATCTTTTTACTCTACCACACTTCCTTAGCAAAAACAAAATAACATTATAGTAATAATAAAGGGTAAAGTACATCATAGGCCAATAAGCTATGATCAGATTGTCAGTTTAGTCATTAAAACATTCAGGCAATTACAATATGATCATTAAATTTTTCTAATTGTTACAAGTCGATCATTAAACTTCGTTGAAATATTACTAAAATGGCATTAAACTTATCAAACTTTTGTGATTTTAATTATAATGTCGTAGTGACTATTTTATAATAGACCAATAATTCAATGACCATTCCTTAACTTCTGAAAGTTCAATGATCAATCGAGAATGGTTAAAAGGTTTTAGTGTACTTTACCCTAAAATAAATATATTGAAAATAAGGATGAACTATCTATTTTGTAACCTACCTATTCTTGTGTTTTTGTTTTAGTTACTTAATTATTTTTTTCGTAAAATCACCTTATGTTGTGCTTCTATTTTGGTACCACTCTATTAGATTTGACTATTGACTTAACGTAAATAATGATGTGACGTGATATAATAATAGCTCCAGTCTTATAACTTACATATTTTATCAAATTAATCTTAATTCGAAATAATTCAATAGATTATAAATATTTAAAAATCTTATCAATTTGGTCCAACATAAAATTTAAAAGATTATAAAATAAAATTAGTCCTCAGTGTTTCACGATTTTTTTAACGCGACTCCTTTTAATAAATAATTAAGAAACATCTTCACCCAAAATATATCTCTCAAATCTCGTTCTTCCCCCAACATCATCATCGCTCGTTTGCTCAATTGTCGTCATTGTCTCTCTACGTCAGTCGCACACCCCTCATTGACCCCTTAACACGTCATTCATGCCTTTCAACCATCAAACTCAATCGCACCCTTCATCATTTTTTCTCAATTTTGAAAACTAGGTTTCATTTGCCAATTTTCAATGTATGTTTGTAAGGTGTGTGGTTGCATAACAATGATGATGTCACAACCCTAGTTTCAGATAGAAGAAAAAATTATTCAAATTAAAAAAATTATGGACTAAATTGCAAGTTTTCAAAATTTGCAGCCCATTTTAGCATTTGTAGAAAGTTTTGGGACTTAATCATTAATTTTACCATTTTCTATCGATAGTAAAAAAATAAGTTAATGACTTGGTGGGGTTCAAACCCATGTCCCTAAGTTAAGATCGCCCATGCCTTAACTGTTTAGGCTAGGGTACTGTTTCAGATATTTATAATTAAAATTTTATTAAAGGCATTAAAATCAGTCATAACACTAAAAAAATCTTCAAATTTCTCAAACCCCAAATCCCTAACCCCTAATCGCACCCCCGTCATTCCGTCGGCCGCCACCTCCATTCAACTTGCCGTCAACCGGTGACCAAAAGCCCTCTTACCCCTCACCGAAATTGGTCGTCGATCAATATGTAAAAACCGTCGAAGCTTCGTCGTCTCTAACCCCCTACTCAATTTTTCTTCGATTCTCGTCGTTGTAGCTTTACCGTTGTTTTCGTCGTCACCAGAGTGGGTAAGCTCGGTTTTAATATTTTCATTGTTTTTGGATGAATATCTCATTAATCCGAGAGTGTAGGTGAGGATCAGCCGTTTGAAATGAACATCGTCATCGCTGCACGCGCCGCCACAAACCAACAATGCACATATCACTCCTCTATCGATCCAGGAGCCTTCTGGAACCGGTCCAGTCAGACCGAACTGGCTTGAGTCAACTCGAACAGAGTCAACTTGTTAACTTTGACTAACCGTTGACTTTGACCATCGTTGACTTTAACTTTGACTAAAAGGTCAAATTTTACAAAAAATCATATTTTATGTTTTTTGATGTCCTGAGTCCCAATTCAAAGTCCGTTTTGCCAAATTCAAACTCTGTAAGATGTTTTTAGGCATTTTATCCCTCGATTCAGTACGTATTTTCACGTTTAAGTTTGGTTTCTAATGTATTTGGTTTTGTCATGTATCCGAGACATTATGAGACGTGAAATTAAAGTTTGAGGGTGATCAAATGGAGTTTAATTGGTTAACCGATATGGCTCGTAAATCGAGGTAATATTCTACTACCTTTTGTATGCTTTGTGGAACTCATTGATAATTGGTAAATGCATTAATGAAAATGATTGGTCAATTAGGTGTATTTAGTTATCATTGGACTCAAACTAAATATGAAATAAAGGCAGAACAATTTATAAGACACAATTTAGGGATTAGTAAATATGCATTAATGGAAATGATTGGTTAATTAGGTAAATATACATTAATGGAAATGATTGGTCAATTAGGTAGACCAATCGAAAATAGTTTAAAATTCAGGGATTAGTTTGACCGATCCAATATTCCTATTAATTGCTTTAAAGGTTAAATATCGGGAATACTTGGTTAGGAAATTACAAAAATATATCTATGAAGTAAAATTACAAAAATGCCCTTGTAGTATAAAAAGACCAAGATTGCCCCATAAGGTAAAAAATAACCCATAAAGGACATACTTGACCAATTACCAGAAAAAGTGCATATGTTTGGATTGAAAAGAATTACCAAAATGTCATTGAGCTGCAAAATAACTAAAATAACCTCTGATATTTTAATGACTGAAATACCCCTAAACCTCAAATGGAATAAAATACCTTGAACTCTAAGAAGACCTAAGTAACCTCGAGTGTTGAAGTAACCTAAATATCCTAACGACTTGGAATAAATGAATGTATTTGGATAAATTCTAGAAACAATAAAATTATGTTATATCATCCCTAAAGGTTATGGAGCATAACTCAAATATACTGAGTATTCTTGACACTGATACATCATAGAAATATATAATACCATTGAATACTTGATCGTCTCCTCTAGTTTCGTTCAGTGGTGATTCTAAAAGTGACCAGTTCAACCAGTGCAATCAATATTAATAAGTGATTATTCGTGAAGTATATAAGTCTGGATTATTGACAAGTTTTACAGGGTGAAGATGGGTTAGTATGATTTGACTCAAAATCATGATAATTCAATACAAATTCAGAATAATACAAACTATCGTTTTACCCTTATTGGATTAAGTTACTAAGAATCTATCAGAAATTAAAATTTCTGAAATACCCCTATTTGCCTGAATAATGGAAACACTCATGATATGTCTAGATATTCAATAATTCTGATGTAAAGGTTCCTGAGTACCTTTTTAATACACTCGAATCTTAACTGATTTTTGAAACATCAATTTCTAAACGTTGATTATATCTGCTAATGAACGAACACTTTTTATAAGGACCTCGATTCTAAATTTCGTCCAATCTACAGAAGTTATACATTTTTTTCTTCCTAATAACAATCAATTTCCTCCGAAAAATAACTGAATATTTTGGTGTGTTCCCTATATGCTACCTGACTATTTTATTTGTATTGAAATTATAAATTGATATCTGGTTAATTTACGATTGTTTTTACTGATTGATATAATGATTTATTGGTTACTTGTTTTACTATAAAAACAAATGAAATATGCCTGAAGTATGAATCATGGAACTACTGGTTACTACTTGAATTATTTTACTGGGACACTATCTAGGTAGGCTGGTGTAACACCCCTATCCCGTACCCGACTTGGATCCGAGTCCGAGGTGTCACATTGACTTTTCAAAACATTTACTTGTATAAAATAGTGAGTAATTTAAATTTTTTTTATACATGTAACTTATTCAAAAGATTTCCAGAACTATTTAGAGGTTAAATGTTTTTACAAAACCGATCAGAGCATATACAATTCAAAACATTAATTACATGCCAACTATTTTCAATGTACAGAATACATCTAATTCAAAACATCTTTTCTGATATGATCTTTGGTAAGAAGTAACTGACCTGTCTTGCTCCACTTTGCTCTTTACTCTTCTCACTTCTGTAACCTACGTGTGAAACAATCACACGCTAAGTCTATGACTTAGTGAGGCAAATAAACATATAATATAAACTATAGCTTGTAATCATGCATGAACAATTACTGCTATCACCCATACCCTTATTCATGTAACAAATCCCTATAACACATATGCAATATATCATTACATGTAAGAACATATACAGACACATATACTCATCACTCATCATTTCCATCTTTAACCTTATTTCATTATCAATATTAATATCGTTTATATCACTTAATACATATCCTCTTATACCAAGCATTTTAACCAACATTTGACTCATTTAATCATATAATCCACATATCATCATATAAATCATATAATACCATTCATAGCACAAAAGCATACAAATCACATGTAATATGTTTTTTTTTATTTCTTTATTAGCCCATGTACACATGTGAGAACTATAGATATGTGAGTCTATAGAGGTTGTGCACTAATGTTGTCACCACAACTCGTATAAATGCATCGAAGTGCCACGTAGAAATGCACCGTAGTGCCGCGTAGAAATGCACCGAAGTGCCATATAAGGTTGTCCCTAAGGACCACGTAGAAAATTCCTTAAGAATCATATACATATGCCAAGGATCAAGTATGTGTCTCAAAAGACCTCACACATGTTCCAAATAATACATATATATCCCGAAGGACCGCGTAGACCCTCGACTCTTGGCATGCCAACTATACCCTAGCTCTCATGACATATAACATGGGCATTATCATTTAAGTCATTTCACATTTTCACATAAACACGTAGTTCCCTTTCACATAGCACGTAGATTATGTCACATAAGTTGAATCACATATACGTATAATCACGTAGATAACTTTCACAGATCATGTAGTTCATATCAA